GGTGATAATAGCAACAAAATTACAAACTTCTGGAAAGGTTGGAACATAAATCTTAAAGGCATTCAAAAAAAAAAAAAAAACAGTTCAAGCCAGGATGTATCAGCACTTGCCTGTAATCCCAGCACTTGGGAAGCAGAGGCAGGTGATGTCTTTGAGTTCAAGGTCAGCATGTTCTACAAAGCCAGTCCAAGACAACCAAAGTTACAGAGAGAAACCCTGTCTCAAAAAAATAAATAAATAAAAAGTAGTGAATGGAAACATCAGATCCATCACAGCTCCAAATACCTCCTCTCCCTCCCTCTTTTTCTGTCTATATGTTGGGCTTTCCTTCTTTTCATTCTCTGGACCCATCCCCTCTCCCATCCACTTTCTGTCCTGAGCTACTCCCCTTCCTTCCTGCTCATCTGAGTTCCTCTTGTTGATTCTGCATATGATGAGCATGATGCCATGATTGCTCCTCACCTGTACCACATGGCCCCCTTGGGCCCTCAAGGAAGGTGCAGAGACCCTGGACTTTGGGTACACTATATCTAGTAAAGATGAGAATGGCACAGAAAGTCTCCATTTGAACTGGCTTGGTGACTAAAAGCACGTGCTGATCTTCCCGAGGACCTAAGTTCAGTTCCCAACACCTATATTAGGCAGCTCACAACTGTCTACATCTCCAATTTCAGGGGACCCAGTGCTGCCATTTAGCTCCTGTGGTCACTACACTCACATTCACATAAACACACAAAGACATATTAAAACCAAAAATCTTTTCATTTTTATATAAAATTAAATATTTTAGTAAATTGAAAATGTAAGATGAACTGGACATGCTGTCTCACACCTGGAAGCCCAGCACTCAGGAGGCTTACACAGGAAGATTTCCAGGAATTTAAAGCCATTGTGGGCTACACAGTAAGTGTCAGGCCAGGAAAAAAAAATAACTGTTTTCAATTGGTCTCAGGTCACCCACTGGTCAGAGAGGCCATAGAGTTAAAAGTTTCCTTAGCTGCCTTTTGTCTTTGCCATCATGGTCTTTGCCCAAGTAGGTTCTTCAGGCCTCAACATGTTTATTTCATCAAATGGGTGAGCTGTGTGTATAGCTCAGCAAGAGAAAACTTGCTTTGTGTGTATCAAGTCCTGGGTTTAGTCTCCAGTACCACAGGGGAATAGCAGATGTGTATTTATGGTAGCCACCGGGTTCCACTGAGAACCTTTGGATCTTTCACATGTGGCCCACTGCATGAGCTCTGACCCCCAGGCTGCTCAGGCTGGAGGCTGGTCCTACCACTTGAAGTTCAGTTGACTTTGAGCATATTACCTAGACTTTGCCTCTATTCCTTCCCATAATGTATGCACATGATACAATATAAGGCTTAGGATTATAGAGAAAATTGTCCAAGTTATAGGACTAATTTAAAAGAGAATTTGTTATACACAGTAAGTATTAGGTCTGTAGTATGTTAGGAAATTTGTATGCATGACTAAATCTTTATCCATGTAGGCAATACATTTATTCTATATACAACATAGCCTTTCCTATGCTGTATGTAGAATATATTTTGCTTCTTTTCTACTTTACTTCAAAGTACATTCCTCTTATTTTTGTTAACCTTTAAGTATACACTATGTGTATATATAATTATAATAAACTGGATTTAGTCTCTGGTATCTGTCTCACACCAGATACCAACATCCAGGAGGCTCACGCAGGAAAATTGCTAGCATTGCTGATTCATGTTCTGAAATCATCATTTTTTTTACTTTATTATGCTTTATTGAAATGAAACAATCAGTTGTCAACTTAGATAGCAAACTATTCAAACAAAACAAAACCCAAGCTCATAAAGGAATTGGGGCTCCAAAGATGTGGCCAAAGCCAAAAAGTTGGAAACGAAGATAGAAACAAATGTAGTATCTGTACAAATGGGCTGCAGAATCTCATCTCTTTTCACATGGGCAGGTAGGATTCTCTGAACATGCAGCAGGTGGAGAGGTCTGTTCCATTGCCTTGATACCTTTCATGGCTTTGTTTCCTTCAGCTGAAAAACACCCCTCAGAAGCAGCCTGAGTATCCCAGAAAGGAGCCTTTTCTTCATATAAGGTTGCACTTGCATGGCAAGTGCTTATATCACAAGAGGGCAAAAATGCTCTTGTGATTTCCCTATAGGCCAAGGTTAAGGGAAATATATTTAACAGCAGTGTGGGCGAGAACTTTCATTTTCAAATATTTAGCACTTTATTGTACAGCTGAATTCATCCTCAGTGTGAGCAGCTAATTGGTCAGCTAGTTATATAGTATATCATTATTTTTAGATAAGATGAATTATATGGAACAGCCTTTATGTAGCATAGCTTCCAGTGAAGATCAGTAAATAGTCTACAAAGCACAGGGACACATACAGCTGCGTGGGGTTTTACATGAACCCCCGCCCCCCATGACTAACACTTTGCTGTGTCCATCTCTCCGATATCCTGGCTGCTCAGCTGAGGACTCTGACTTTAGAAGCTTCTGCAGGTGTTTCAAAGGCAGTGGAAAAAACCTGTCACACAGATGGAGGGGATTTCCTTGGTAACATGCATGGAAGCTTCAAAGTATGCTTGGGGGGAAGAGACATACACACACATCAGTAATTTTTGGTACCCCTCCACCTTACAGCTACACTTTAAGAAACTCCCGAGAAATCCCAAGGGACATTGCCCAGAACTTGGCAGCTCTCATTGACCCATCCAGGCACCTCCAAAAGAGTTCACAATTTTTTTACAGCAGGTTCCTGATCCTCACCCCATGCTAGAACCTGTGAGAAATGATGGCAAGCCCAGATTCCCAGGCCCTGCCATTCCTGATTTAGTCAGAATATTGGGAAATGACGTTATATATCACCACCTTTTAAACAGCCAAGGAGACTTCAGTGTGTGGAAAGATCTGCAAGTCTTTGCAGGTGTGTGAACGGTGTGAATTTTATAATGGAACAACAATGCTTCCATTTTGTAAACATTTTTATTTTTTTTCAATTGTCCTATCTCTAGTTTTTCAGCTGCCATCGGCTGGGCTGAAGCCCAGGGAGCTTTCCTGATGGCTGGTGCCATTTCACTGAGGCTGAGGGGCAGCCAGGCCTGCCAGTGCTGGCCTTTCAGTCCTCTCAATGCAGGGCCTTGTCTTTAGCTGCTCATTTTTCTAGCCTTGGAAAAATTATTAATTCATACTATTTACTCTGACCAATGGCTCTTGATGTGATTTTTCCTTTGTTTTGTAAGCATGCAGGTGTTCCCAATTTGATTAGCTTGAGGTAGTGCTATCACCGAATAGCCATAGAATGCCACATTCAAAAAGCAACTATGAGCTTTATTAGAGCAACTTCCTGCTCACTACATAATTTTTCCCTAACATTGTGATACTAACACATAATCAACATAGGAAGAACTCCAGGGAATTACAGTATGTTTATATATGTATGTATATATAAGCTTATAGTGCTAGAGGGTTCAATCCACAGTCCTTGGCCATGCCACTATGAGTCTACAGTTTGCACAATATACCATGGAAGTAGAAAATCCTGGAGAAGTCTGTCCAAATCACAACCAGGATCCCCTAGTAGCCTCCTAAGAGCACTCCCCTAGTAATCTAACTCCCCCTCTCTGAGCCCTATCTCCCAAAGGCTTTACCACCTTCTGATGGTGCCCCAAGCTGAAAATCAGTCTGTCAGCACAAGGAGGGCCTTTGGATGACATTTAACATACAGCTCACATTAAGGAGAAACTGCCTTTCTTAAGCTCCATTCTGCAAAATGTCTGTAAGGACAGATCATTCCCAGAAAAAAGTTTTGTCTGGTTCATTGGATATGTGGAAAGTACATAGCCAAGACATCCACAGAAGAGGAGTTCTCCTTTGACAGACATTTGGCTGTTGCTGCTGCCTTGTATTTAGTTTTAGTGTAAATTTTGAGTAAGAAATAAACATGGGATATCATGCTGTCAAAGTCAGTTCCCAGGAAGGGGAGGCACAAAACACAGAGCTGAAACGTTGCAGCTCAGGATGTGTTCATGATGGTGGCTGTAATTTGTCTGCTCTGAGGCAACAGCACACTGAGGCTGCAATGCTAATGGGTGTCCACTCTAGGCGTGGCATCAGCAGTGTGCCCAAGCTTTTTGGTGTACAATTAAATCTTCTTTTTTCTTGTGCTTTTGGTAGTAATAAGCAGCCACCAAGCTTGAGACTCATGTCGGGTCCTGTCCTTCACCTTCTCTCCTCCTGGGAAACCATCTGTGTAAACCATTTTGAATGTTATTGAGGCAAACATATCAGTGATTCTTCGTGTTCTCCTTAATGACTGGGTTAAATCATTCGAGACTGTCGGTTGACTGCGTTTTCTACAGAGCTCTTCTCTGTACACAGTAAAGAACCTTCCCCTGTGTTTTCATGTTTTCTCACTCTGTCTGTGGCAGGGAAAAAGAAGAGGAAATAGAGCAGTGGGTGGTATAAAATAAGCAAGTCAGTGTGGAGCTACTGAGTGGTTTGACATGTATTGTCAATGCACAGTTTCAGAAAAGCTTCTGAAATCAAAGATATGAAAGATTATGGTGGCAAGAAATACATTTGACCATAAACACCGTGAGTGGAAACATAAGCACGTGTCTTTATTGATATAGAGTTAGTAGTACAAAGTTATATGTGGCATAGATCTGTTTGGTCAAAACACACCTTCCTTCAATGTGCAACTTAGCTTACCAGTAAGTCATGGACATTCATATTTAAAATAACAGTTAAAGCATACTTGAAAGAAGCATTTTAGCACCAGAGTTGAGCTGTTACCCAGATGTCTATGTGTCCATACCAGGTTATGTATGTCTCCTTCCCTGGTTGTCTACCTAAGCTCCAGACCCTATAAAGGAAAAACAATGTGATGGTCTCTTCTTTTCTATATTTTATATTTGGGTCTAGTTACTATGACTATTTCAGAAATCATTATTTTAATCTCCTTTCATGTCCCTCCTCTCACTTTTGACTTCAGTGCTGCAAATATTCCAGGATACACTGGCAAGGTTCATTTCACAGCCACCCACCCAACAAATTGTAATGTTCCACCAAAAGATTCAGAGATGGACCGGTAAGTAGGAATCCTATTACTCAGCTTGCTCACATACATTAGAAAGAGAAATGATAATTATGGTTATTCCATTAAAGAACAATTAAATACTAACAGTAAATTTGCAGTGCTTAAGAAAAATTTGGTGACAAATCCAAAAAAGAAAGTAGTTTATTTTCCAACTGAAGGGAACTTTACTCAGAATTGCCTGGGGGGAAAAATGCAGGTTAATGGTCCTGTTGACAGTGGTCCCTTTAGGCTCTTCTTCGAGCATATTGTGAGAAAGAATCTTCCCCTCTGACACTCTTCAGTTGTGCACATGCATCATTAGTCGGCTATTATCAACAGAGCATGCTACCCAGTGTGTAATAGGAGCCACACGTTTGCTTCTTGTGAATATCTTTTTATAAAGGAAAAAAAGATCGTTGGAATTCACATGTATTTTAATGCCAATTTGCACACATTGAAACACAAGGCAGTGGATGGAAAGAATGGAAGAATACTTTATTGGCAATCAGCAGTGAGAGGCGGCCCACTATTCTCATTATACTGCAAATTTGAAAGCACTTGGCGGAGGTCCTTGTCTAGAACTAAAAAAAAAAAAAAAACAACAAAAAAAAAAAAACCACACACAGTTGTGAAAACACAGGTGCTCCCTGAGGCTAAGGCTGGCATGTTCAAGTGAACGAGCTATGACGAGGTGTCCCTCCCCTTAAGGGTACCTTCTTCTATAGATCATATTCTTTTTTTTTTTCACTTTTACAACTTTTTTATTATTAAATTTAAAGACACAGATTAGTTTGACAGTTTAAATTTCTTTCTATCTTATCTAGCTATGTGACAAATATAAATATAAATAGACATATTTATATGACTATATGACTATCTCTGTATATCTCTATATGGCTATCTGTCTTATCTATTGATGTGATTATCTATTTATATGACTAACTATTATAATATTGACTAGCACTCTCTCGCTATATATATGTCTATATGACTGACTATCTATATTTTTTTTTGTATTTTATTTTTTTCTTATCAGTTACATTTTATTAACTCTGTACCCCAGCCATGTCCCGATCCCTCATTCCCTCCCAGTCCCTCCCTCCCTCCCTCATCTCCACCATGCCCCTTTCCAAGACCACTGATAGGGGGGACCTCCTCCCCATTCATCTGATCCTGTTTTATCAGGTATCTTCAGGACTGGCTGCACAGCTCTCCTCTGTGGCCTAACAGGACTGCTCCTCCCTTGGGGGGTAGGGAGGTCAAAGAGCCAGTCATTGAGTTCCTGTTAGAAATAGTCCTTGTTCCCCTCACTATGGGAAACCAATTGGTTACTGAGCTACCACAGGCTACATCTGAGCAGAGGTTCTAGGTTACATTCATACATGGTCCTTGGTTGCATGTCAGTCTCAGAAAAGACCCTGTGCCCAGATATCTTTGGTCCTTGTGGGGCTCCTATCCTTTCCTCATCAGACTAACTCCCCTTTTTTCTTATGATTCCCTGTACTCTGCCAAAGGTTTGGTCTTGAGTCTTTGCTTTGAAAACACTGCTAGTTAGAGTCTTTCCAATGCGCTCAGTAGACTCCTGTCAATGTTCAATGCGCATCCCATCTGTCTTTGTAAACGAGGATTGATAATATTACCCCATGTCCGCTCTCTTGATTATCTTTTTTAGGTGTATAGATTTCATTATGTTTATTATATCTTATAGGTCTACATAAGTGAGTATATACCGTGTTTGTCTTTCTCCTTCTGGGATATTTCACTCAGGATGATCTTTTCTAGATCCCACCATTTGCCTGCAAATTTCATGATTTCCTCCTTTTTGATTGCTGAGTAGTATTCCATTGTGTAAAAATACCGCAGTTTCTGTACCCATTCCTCCATTGATGGACATCTGGGTTGTTTCCAGGTTCTGGCTATTACAAATAAAGCTGCTATAAACATGGTTGAGCAAATATCCCTCTTGTGTACTTGAGCAAACTTTGGGTATATACCTAGCAGTGGTATAGCTGGGTCTTGAGGAAGCACTATTCCTATTTGTCTTAGAAAGCGCCAGATAGATTTCCAGAGTGGTTGTACTAGTTTACATTCCCACCAGCAGTGGAAGAGGGTTCCCTTTTCTCCACAACCTCTCCAGCATGTGTTGTCCCTTGAGTTTTTCATCTTGGCCATTCTGATGGGTGTAAGGTGATATCTCAGGGTCGTTTTGATTTGCATTTCCCTGATGGCTAATGAGGATGAGCATTTCTTTAAGTGTTTCTCTGCCATTCGATATTCCTCTGTCAAGAGTTCTCTGGTTAGCTCTGTTCCCCATTTTTTAATTGGATTACTTGGTTTGCTGCTTTTCAGCTTCTTTAGTTCTTTGTATATACTCGATATTAGTCCTCTGCCAGATAAAGGGTTAGTGAAGATTCTTTCCCAATCTGTAGGCAGGCGTTTTGTTTTGATGACAGTGTCCTTTGCTTTACAGAAGCTGTTCAGTTTCATGAGGTCCCATTTATTGATTGTTGCTCTTAGAGCCTGTGCAGTTGGTGTTCTGTTCAGGAAGTTGTCTCCTGTGCCAATGAGTTCTAGGCTGTTCCCCACTTTTTCTTCTAACAGATTTAGAGTATCTGGTTTTATGTTGAGGTCTTTGATCCACTTGGACTTTAGTTTTGTGCAGGGTGATAAATATAGATCTATTTTCATTTTTCTGCATGTGGACATCCAGTTGGACCAGCACCATTTGTTGAAGATGCTGTCTTTTTTCCATTGAATGGTTTTGGCTTCTTTGTCAAAAATCGAGTATTCATAGGTGTGTGGGTTTATTTCTGGATCTTCTATGCGGTTCCATTGATCCTCCTTTCTGTTTTTATGCCAATACCATGCAGTTTTTATTACTATTGCTTTGTAGTACAACTTGAGATCGGGGATGGAGATACCTCCAGATGATCTGTTGTTGTACAGGATTGTTTTGGAGATTCTGGGTTTTTTGTTACTCCATATGAAGCTGAGAATCTTTTTTTCAAGGTCTGTAAAGAATTGAGTTGGTATTTTGATGGGAATTGCATTGAATCTGTAGATTGCTTTTGGCAGGATGGCCATTTTCACAATGTTAATCCTACCAATCCATGAGCACGGGAGATCTTTCCATCTTCTGAGATCTTCTTCAATTTCTTTCTTCAGAGACTTGAAGTTTTTCTCAAACAGGTCTTTCACTTGCTTGGTTAGAGTCACACCAAGGTACTTTATGTGGTTAGTGGCTATTGTGAAGGGTGTTGTTTCCCTAATTTCTTTCTCCGCCCTTTTGTCTTTGGTATACAGGAGGGCTTCTGATTTTTTTGAGTTGATTTTGTATCCTGCCACTTTGCTGAAGGTGTTTATCAACTGGAGGAGTTCTCTGGTTGAATTTTTGGGGTCGCTCATATCATCTGCGAATAGTGACACTTTGACCCCTTCCTTTCCGATTTGTATCCCCTTGATCTCCTTTAGTTGTCTTATTGCTCTGGCTAGGACTTCAAGTACTATGTTGAAGAGGTAGGGAGAGAGTGGGCAGCCTTGTCTTGTCCCTGATTTCAGTGGGATTGATTTAAGTTTCTCTCCATTGAGTTTGATGTTGGCTATCGGCTTGCTGTATATTGCCTTTACTATGTTTAGATATGTGCCTTGTATTCCTGATCTCTCCAAGACTTTAAACATGAATGGGTGTTGGACTTTGTCAAATGCTTTTTCAGCATCTAAGGAGATGATCATGTGGTTTTTCTCCTTCAGTTTGTTTATGTGGTGGATTACATTGATGGATTTCCGTATGTTGAACCACCCTTGCATGCCTGGGATGATGCCTACTTGGTCATGGTGGATGATATCTTTGATGTGTTCTTGGATTTGGTTTGCAAGTATTTTATTGAGTATTTTTGCGTCAATGTTCATAAGAGAGATGGGTCTGAAGTTCTCTTTTTTTGTTGGGTCTTTGTGTGGTTTAGGTATCAGGGTGACTGTTGCTTCATAGAATGAGTTTGGTAATGTACCTTCTGTTTCTATTTTGTGGAATAGTTTGAGCAGAATTGGTGTGAGCACTTCTTTGAAGGTCTGGTAGAATTCTGCACTGAAACCATCTGGCCCAGGGCTTTTTTTGGAGGGGAGACTGTGAATGACTGCTTCAATTTCCTTGGGGGATATAGGGCTGTTCAGTCTTTCTACCTGATCTTGACTTAATGTTGGAAGATGGAATCTGTCAAGAAAATTGTCCATTTCATTTAGATTTTCAAATTTTGTGGCATATAGGCTTTTGTAGTATGACCTAATGATTGTTTGAATTTCCTCTGTGTCTGTAGTTATGTCACCCTTTTCATCTCTGATTTTGTTGATTTGGATAGACTCTCTCTGCTTTTTAGTTAGTTTGGCTAAGGGTTTGTCTATCTTGTTGATTTTCTCAAAGAACCAGCTTTTTGTTTCATTGATTCTTTGAATAGTTTTATTTGTTTCTAATTGATTGATTTCAGCCCTGAGTTTGATTATTTCTAGCCTTCTGCTCCTCTTGGGTGTATCTGCTTCTTTTTTTTCTAGGGTTTTCAGTTGGGCCATTAAGTTGTTTGTATGTGATGTTACAAATTTCTTCTTGCAGGCACTTACTGCTATAAATTTTCCCCTGAGCACTGCTTTCAGTGTGTCCCATAAATTTGGGTATGTTGTGCCTTCATTTTCATTGAATTCTAGGAAGTCTTTAATTTCTTTCTTTATTTCTTCCTTAACCCAGCTGTCGTTGACTAACAGGTTGTTCAGTTTCCATGTGCGTGTAGGCAGTTTGTTATTTCTGTTGTTGTTGAGGTCCAGCTTAAGTCCATGTTGGTCAGATAGAATACAAGGGATTATTTCAATCTTTTTGTATCTGTTGAGGCTTCCTTTATGACCAACTAGATGGTCTATTTTGGAGAAGGTTCCATGTGGTGCTGAAAAGAAGGTATACTCTTTTGAGTTTGGATGAAAAGATCTGTAGACGTCTATTAGGTCCATTTGATTTAGGGTCTCTGTAA